TCCTCCCGCTGGTGACCCCTCTAGTGATATAAAGATCTATATAGAGGAATCAGGACCTCCTCCTTCCTCCTGCCAGTGACCCCTCTAGTGATATAAAGATCTATATAGAGGAATTAGGGACCTCCTTCCTCCTGATGGTGACCCCTCTAGTGATATAAAGATCTATATAGAGGAATCAGGACCTCCTTCCTCCCTCCGGTGACCCCTCTAGTGATATAAAGATCTATATAGAGGAATCGGGACCTCCTTCCTCCTGCCAGTGACCCCTCTAGTGATATATAGATCTATATAGAGGAATTCAGGACCTCCTCCTCCTTCCTCCTGCCGGTGACCCCTCTAGTGATATAAAGATCTATATAGAGGGAATCAGGACCCTCCTTCCTCCTGCCGGTGACCCCTCTAGTGATATAAAGATCTATAAAGAGGAATCAGGACCTCCTTCCTCCTGCCTTCCTAGATATAATTATATAGAGAATCGGGACCTCCTTCCTCCTGTGACCCCTCTAGTGATGATATAAAGATCTATATCTATAGAGGAATCGGGACCTCCTTCCTCCTGGTGACCCCTCTAGTGATATAAAGATCTATATAGAGGAATCAGGACCTCCTTCTCCTGATGGTGACCCCTTTAGTGATATAAAGATCTATATAGAGAATCAGGACCTCCTTCCTCCTGCCGGTGACCCCTCTAGTGATATAAAGATCTATATAGAGGAATCGGGACCTCCTTCCTCCTGCCGGTGATCCCTCTAGTGATATAAAGATCTATATAGAGGAATCGGGACCTCCTTCCTCCTGCCAGTGACCCCTAGTAGTGATATAAAGATCTATATAGAGGAATCGGGACCTCCTTCCTCCTGATGGTGACCCCTCTAGTGATATAAAGATCTATATAGAGGAATCAGGACCTCCTTCCTCCTGCCGGTGACCCCTCTAGTGATATAAAGATCTATATAAAGAGGAATCAGGACCACCCCTAGTGATCTATATAGAGGAATCGGGACCTCCTTCCTCCTGTTGGGGACCCCTCTAGTGATATAAAGATCTATATAGAGGAATCAGGACCTCCTTCCTCCCGCTGGTGACCCCTCTAGTGATATAAAGATCTATATAGAGGATCGGGACCTCCTTCCTCCTGCGGTGATCCCTCTAGTGATATAAAGATCTATATAGAGGAATCGGGACCTCCTTCCTCCTGCCAGTGACCCCTCTAGTGATATAAAGAGCTATATAGAGGAATCAGGGACCTCCTTCCTCCTGCCATGGTGACCCCTCTAGTGATATAAAGATCTATATAGAGGAATCAGGACCTCCTTCCTCCTGATGGTGACCCCTCTAGTGATATAAAGATCTATATAGAGGAATCAGGATCCTCCCTCCTGATGGTGACCCCTCTAGTGATATAAAGATCTATAAAGAGGAATCAGGACCTCCTTCCTAGATCTATATAGAAGAATCGGGACTCCTTCCTCCTGTTGGGGACCCCTCTAGTGATATAAAGATCTATGTAGAGGAATCAGGACCTCCTCCCTCCTGATGGTGACCCCTCTAGTGATATAAAGATCTATATAGAGGAATCAGGACCTCCTTCCTCCTGATGGTGACCCCTCTAGTGATATAAAGATCTATATAGAGGAATCGGGACCTCCTTCCTCCTTGGGTGACCCCTCTAGTGATATAAAGATCTATATAGAGGAATCAGGACCTCCTTCCTCTCCTCCTGGTGATCCCCTCTAGTGATATAAAGATCTATATAGAGGAATCAGGACCTCCTTCCTCCCTCCTGGTGACCCCTCTAGTGATATAAAGATCTATATAGAGAAATCAGGACCTCCTTCCTCCTGCTGGTGACCCCTCTAGTGATATAAAGATCTATATAGAGGAATCGGGACCTCCTTTCTCCTGCCGGTGACCCCTCTAGTGATATAAGATCTATATAGAGGAATCCGGGACCTCCTTCCTCCTGCCGGTGACCCCTCTAGTGATATAAAGATCTATATAGAGGAATCGGGACCTCCTTCCTCCTGCCGGTGACCCCTCTAGTGATATAAAGATCTATATAGAGGAATCGGGACCTCCTTCCTCCTGCCAGTGACCCCTCTAGTGATATAAAGATCTATATATAGGAATCGGGACCTCCTTCCTCCTGCCGGTGACCCCTCTAGTGATATAAAGATCTATATAGAGGAATCGGGACCTCCTTCTTCTCCTGCCGGTGACCCCTCTAGTGATAAAGATCTATATAGAGAGGAATCAGGACCTCCTTCCTCCTGCGCTGGTGACCCCTCTAGTGATATAAAGATCTATATAGAGGAATCGGGACCTCCCTTCCTCCTGCCGGTGACCCCTCTAGTGATATAAAGATCTATATAGAGGAATCAGGACCTCCTTCCTCCTGCCAGTGACCCCTCTAGTGATATAAAAGAGGAATAGGACCTCCTTCCTAGAGGAATTGGGACCTCCTTCCTCCTGATGGTGACCCCTCTAGTGATATAAAGATCTATATAGAGGAATCAGGACCTCCTGCTGGTGACCCCTCTAGTGATATAAAGATCTATATAGAGGAATCAGGACCTCCTTCCTCGGCTGGTGATCCCTCTAGTGATATAAAGATCTATATAGAGGATCAGGACCTCTTTACTCCTGATGGTGACCCCTTTAGTGATATAAAAGATCTATATAGAGGAATCGGACCTCCTTCCTCGGCTGGTGATCCCTCTAGTGATATATAGATCTATATATAGAGGAATCGGGACCTCCTTCCTCCTGCCGGTGATCCCTCTAGTGATATAAAGATCTATATAGAGGAATCAGGACCTCCTTCCTCCTGCCGGTGACCCCTCTAGTGATATAAAGATCTATATAGAGGAATCAGGACCTCCTTCCTCCTGCCAGGTGACATCAGTGATATAAAGATCTATATAGAGGAATTAGGACCTCCTTCCTCCTGCTCCCCCTGCTGGTGATATCTAGTGCTATATAGAGGAATCAGGACCTCCTTCCTCCTGCTGGTGACCCCTCTAGTGATATTAAGATCTATATAGAGGAATTGGGACTCCTTCCTCCTACTGGTGACCCCTCTAGTGATATTAAAGATCTATATAGAGGAATCAGGACCTCCTTCCTCCTGCTGGTGACCCCTCTAGTGATATAAAGATCTATATAGAGGAATCGGGACCTCCTTCCTCCTGCTGGTGACCCCTCTAGTGACATAAAGATCTATATAGAGGAATCGGGACCTCCTTCCTCCTGATGGTGACCCCTCTAGTGATATAAAGATCTATATATAGAGGAATCAGGACCTCCTTCCCTCCTGATGGTGACCCTCTAGTGATATAAAGATCTATATAGAGGAATCAGGACCTCCTGCTTACTGTGGTGACCCTCTAGTGATATATATAAAGAATCTAAAGTGATATAAAGATCTAAATAGAGGAATCGGGACCCCCTTCCTCCTGCTGGTGACCATTCTAGTGATATAAAGATCTAAATAGAGGAATCGGGACCTCCTTCCTCCTGCTGGTGACCATTCTAGTGATATAAAGATCTATATAGATGAATCGGGACCTCCTTCCTCCTGCCGGTAACCCCTCCAGTGATATAAAGATCTATATAGAGGAATCGGGACCTCCTTCCTTCTGCTGGTGACCGCTCTAGTGATGCATCCTAGAATTCTATTCGCTTTCCCCACTACCTGGCCACACTGTTTGCTCATTCAGCAATCATCTGAAATAAGTACCCCCAAGTTCTTTTCCTCTGTAGTGCTGGCCAACACTGTACCCCCAATGTTGTACTCTCTCAGGGGATTCTTTTTCCCTAAGTGTATTATTTTACATTTAGGAACATTGAACTGAAATTTCTACTTTTTTGACAAATCTTCCAGCAATTCCAAACCATGTTCCATGTTCCAGACACCTCCAGGGATATCCTCCCTATTGCGCACCTTGTGTGTCATCAGCAAAGAGACATCCCCTTACCCAACAACCCTTTAGTTCTATCCCTTACACATAGAGTACATAGAACATGTCCCAGTACAGAGCCTTGGGGTACACCACTAGTGACTGCTCTCTGTTCTGAGTGAACCCCATTTATCACACACACTCTGGTATCTATTCTTTAGCCATCTGCACATCCACTGAACCACCCAAGGTCTAAGTCCTAGCTTGTCCAACGTTTGTATTAGATCGTTATGTGGAACTGTATCACATGCCTTGCTGAATCAAGATATGTCACGTCCACAGCACCACCCTGGTCCAAAACATTGGTGATATAGTAAAAAAAAAATCCAATCAGATGAGTCTGCCATGATCTCCCCTCAGTAAAGCCATGCTGCTTTGGATCCAGCAGATTGTGTGTTTTAGATGATCAATGATCCTTCCTTTCAGGAGTGATTCCAATAACTTGACTACCACCGAAGTTAGACTCACTGGCCTGTAATTGCTTCTACCTTCCTGGCCTTCTTGTGGATCAATACAATATAAGCTGTCCGCCAGTCACGTGGAACTTCTCCTGTTAGAAGAGATTAATTAAAAAGAACAGTTACTGGTCCAACAACTAGACTCTCTTCTCTTAGAACTCTGTGATGATCCATCAGGGCCCATTGCTTTATTAATCTTTAACCGAGCCAGTCCTCTGCTACCTCTGTCTTCTCTGATCCTCCCCTTCTTCCAGTGTCTTATCTCCTGATAAGACATACTGTGTGGAGTCACTCTACACATGCTCAGTTTGGTATGTATTGCTAGAGAGCGCTGTCCAGGCAGACGTCAGGGGTTCTGCATCCTCCTAGAGCCAAATGAAAACTCCTACTACAAGCTTTAACCAGTGCTCCGCTGGACACTGATAGAAGTCACAAGACTGCTATAAACTGCTGATGAGAAAAATATGTTTACCAGTTTAGATTCACTAAAATAATTGCATTTCCATGTTGTGTGTACTGTTGGAGACCGGATATAGTGAATGCAGGGTCCGGAGAGACCAGATATAGTGACTGCAGGGTCTGGGGAGACCAGATATAGTGAATGCAGGGTCCGGGGAGACTGGATATAGTGAATGCAGGGTCCGGGGAGACTGGATATAGTGAATGTAGGGTCCGGGGAGACCAGATATAGTGAATGCAGGGTCCGGGGAGACCAGATATAGTGAATGCAGGGTCCGGGGAGACCAGATATAGTGAATGCAGGGTCCGGGGAGACCAGATATAGTGAATGCAGGGTCCGGGGAGACCAGATATAGTGAATGCAGGGTCCTGGGAGAGCAGATATAGTGAATGCGGGGTCCGGGGAGACCAGATATAGTGAATGCGGGGTCCGGGGAGACCAGGTATAGTGAATGCAGGGTCCGGGGAGACCAGATATAGTGAATGCAGGGTCCGGGGAGAGCAGATAAAGTGAATGCAGGGTCCGGGGAGACCAGATATAGTGAATGCAGGGTCCGGGGAGAGAGGATATAGTGAATGCAGGGCCTGGGAGAGCAGATATAGTGAATGCAGGGTCCGGGGAGACCAGGATATAGTGAATGCAGGGTCCGGGGAGAGCGGATATAGTGAATGCAGGGTCCTGGGAGAGCAGATATAGTGAATGCAGGGTCCGGGGAGACGGATATAGTGAATGCAGGGTCCGGGGAGACCAGATATAGTGAATGCAGGGTCCGGGGAGACCAGATATAGTGAATGCAGGGTCCGGGGAGACCAGATATAGTGACTGCAGGGTCCGGGGAGACCAGATATAGTGACTGCAGGGTCCGGGGAGACCAGATATAGTGACTGCAGGGTCCGGGGAGACCAGATATAGTGACTGCAGGGTCCGGGGAGACCAGATATAGTGAATGCAGGGTCCGGGGAGACCAGATATAGTTTATTCCACAAACCCCCCCAAAAAAAAACAAACGCTGACCAACAGACTCAGTCCGCTCCCACCACTCACTTGCCTAGAATGCCATCTTCCTGAGGCCTTGCCACTACAAGTGGATGGTTCTCCCATGTGGATAAACTATACTGAATTGTTGGTGTCAGTGAGAACAAAGTGTAACCCCAACCCAGCATTGGTGGATCCCACCCTCCGCTGATGTCGGAGTTCTACTTTCACTGTCAGAGAGGAGATCATGGCTCCCAACAGTCTGGTATCATTGCAGTGCCTGGTGATGGAACCCGGAGAGTGTTCCAGCCGTCATCACCTCACTGCTGCTCAATGCCGTCTGAAAGACGTCTTACGCCACACAAAAAAAAAAACAAACGCCGATCAACAGACTAAGGCTAACCATACACTATACAATTTTCTTTCAAATTTCTGCCCAATTTCCTTTAGATTTACCTTCAACTATGTAGTGCAAGAGCCTGCCTAATTGCATACAATTGAAAGTGTTGTTACGATTTGACCACCTATTATATGGTTTTTGGTAAATCTAAACCAAAAATCTCAAGAAAATGATATAATGTATGGCCACGGCTCCCAACATTCTGGTGCAATTGCAGTGCCTGGTGATGGAACCCCGAGAGTGTTCCAGCCGTCATCACCTCACTGCCACTCAGCAGAGTCCTGGATCCTGCGGGATGAGGACATGATGGGACAGGAGCCAAAATCCCGGGACTGTCCTTCTGAATCCGGGATACTTGACAACAATGACACGCCCAGGTTGATGCTTCGAAACCTTTCTCAGGGCTTGCAGATCCTCCGAGCTCTACAAGGCAGTGACCTCAATTCTACCCAGACAGGAAGTCTCTATGGTACACAGACAGGAAGTGATGTCAGATACAGACCGGAAGTGATGTCAGGTACAGACAGGAAGTACTGGGTGAGAGGTGAGGTGGGAGGAAGTAGAGAGGAGACGGTGGAAGTGGCAGCAGAGGAGGTAATAAGATGTTATTTCCTATTTACACCCAGTAACCCCCCGTCATGTCCGTCCTCTTTCCTCCATAGTCACATCCGTCCTCTTCCCCCATAGTCACGTCCGTCGTCTTCCCCCCATAGTCACGTCCATCCTCTTCCTCCATAGTCACGTCCGTCCTCTTCCTCCATAGTCACGTCCGTCCTCTTCCTCCATAGTCACGTCCGTCCTTTTCCTCCATAGTCACGTCCATCCTCTTCCTCCATAGTCACGTCCGTCCTTTTCCTCCATAGTCACGTCCGTCCTCTTCCTCCATAGTCACGTCCGTCCTCTTCCTCCATAGTCACGTCGTCCTCTTCCTCTATAGTCACGTCCGTCCTCTTCCTCCATAGTCACGTCCGTCCTCTTCCTCCATAGTCACGTCTGTCCTCTTCCTCCATAGTCACTGTGACATCTTTTATCTCCAGCAGATGATGATACACACATATATAGTGTGGGAACCCAGATTAACCCCTTCAGGGGCACAACATTCCCCCACTTCCGGGGGCCGGAACATTCTCCTCATTGTGGAGATGGGTCACCTTCTCCCTGGAGATGAGATGGACATACCTGGGTTCGGGGGGAGACGGCTCTGCAGAACAGAACCAAAGTTCAGGTGCCGAATCCGAACCCCATGGAAGCTGAATTTTAACCACTTTACAACTGCGCTATAGCCGGTAGACAGCTAAGCAAGGTTGTCCAGTTCTGGGAGGGCGTCATACGACATCCTCCAGGAATGTGCCCCGTTGCTGGCCATCATCACTGTGTCCTACGGACACAGCTGATCACATGACTAGGTAAAAGACCAATCACAGCAGCCTTTTAGCACGTGATCAGGTCCTCTTTAACCACTTTCCCAACCACGTTATAGCCGAAAGATGGCTACAGCGTGGTTGTCCAGCTATGGGAGGGTGTCATACGACGTCCTCCCAGAACGTGCCCCCAGAGCTGGCCATGATCGATGTGCTCTATGGACACACCTGATCACATGACTAGGTAAAAGGCCAACCACAGCGTCTTTTACCATGTGATCAGGTCCTCATTTCCCGCTTCCCAACCACGCTATAGCCAAAAGACGGCTACAGCACGGCTATCAAGTTCTGTGAGTGCGCTCATGGACGCCCTCCCAGAAAGCGCACCCAGCGCTGTCAGTGATCAATGTGTCCTACAGACACAGCTGGTCATGTGATGTAGTAAAAGGCCAATCACAGAGGCCTTTTACCATGTGATCAGCTGTGTCCAATGACCAGCACTGAAAGGCAGCGCTGTGGGCACTGACGGGGCTGCACTGTGCAGATGTCCCCTCTAAGGAGGGGACATAGTAAAGAGTCTACGTCATTGGTTCTTTACCGCAGTGCGGATAGGTACACAGTGCACCACTGATCGCCGTGTGCCCCCAGGGGCGCGCATGTGCGGCTAGAGTGGGAGTCAGGGCTGTCTTAATGCTTGGTTATCCCTGGGTGGCCCCATGATAATCTTCCATTACATCATACTTGTCGACTGTCCCGGATCAGCTGGGACAGTCAAGCTTTTTGCTGAGCTGTCCCGGGATGGCCCGAGCAGCATCCCTATACCTTTACTGTGCCCTCCTGATCCCAGTAGTGCACTCTCCTGACCTCCCCCGTACTGTGTCCTTTGTGTTGATAGTCTTTGATTTATTCCATGTTTTCTTATTGTTTCAAATCCATTTTATTGAACGTACTAATACATACATGTTTAATTCTATCCAATATTTATACTTTAATTCTTGAGAGTGGGTGTGTAAATTGGGGCAGGCTGATGGGGGGCCCCCGGTGCATTATTTTGCCCAATGGTCCATGATGCTATTAGGACGGCCTCGTATGACATCTTCCTAGAAAAAGAGAGCACCCTCCCATTCGTCATTTCCCAATATGATGGGTGGAAGGCGGTTAATACCCTCCCCTTTTATCATATGTTTGATACACTGTAATGATGCTCTTTTTTGAAGATCTGGTGTCAGAGAAGTTCAATTTCTCCTGCTAATACTCAATGCTGATCTGACTTCTGCAGGTATATCTTCACTAATCTCACCACCACGTCACCCATTGTCTTGTTCTGAATTTTTGCTGTGCGTTTTGTTGTATTTATTCTTTTAGTAAAAAAAATCATCGTAGGACAGGAGGTGTGCAGGACATGGGAAACCCAACAAACACAAAGTAACCCTATCTACATGTGTCACTAGGGGGAGAACCACCTATTAACCTTATATCCCCATCCTAATATTGTACAACCAGTACCGTCCAGATAATTCTCTGCTATTTATCTACAGGGAAAACCGCATAGATCACATGACTACATCAATGAGGATGGAGAAGTATCGGAGTCACATGACTGAGAGGATACTAAACTTCACCCTGGAGATCATCTACCTGCTGACCGGAGAGGTGAGGAGGATTCTGGGAGGTCACATGACATCACTTTTATCTCTATTAATAAAACACAGACCTGACCGGAGAGGTGTGGAGGATTCTGGGAGGTCACATGACATCACTTAGCTCTATTAATAAAACAGAGACCTGACCGGAGAGGTGAGGAGGATTCTGGGAGGTCACATGACATCACTTATCTCTATTAATAAAACAGAGACCTGACCGGAGAGGTGAGGAGGATTCTGGGAGGTCACATGACATCACTTTTATCTCTATTAATAAAACACAGACCTGACCGGAGAGGTGATGAGGATTCTGGGAGGTCACATGACATCACTTTTTAATTAATAAAAACACATTAATAAAACATGACAGACCTATTAATACCAGAGACCTGACCGGAGAGGTGAGGAGGATTCTGGGAGGTCACATGACATCACTTATCTCTATTAATAAAACAGAGACCTGACCGGAGAGGTGAGGAGGATTCTGGGAGGTCACATGACATCACTTTATCTCTATTAATAAAACACGGACCTGACCGGAGAGGTGATGAGGATTCTGGGAGGTCACATGACATCACTCTTATCTCTATTAATAAAACACAGACCTGACCGGAGAGGTGTGGAGGATTCTGGGAGGTCACATGACATCACTTTATCTCTATTAATAAAACAGAGACCTGACCGGAGAGGTGAGGAGGATTCTGGGAGGTCACATGACATCACTTTTATCTCAATTAATAAAACACAGACCTGACCGGAGAGGTGAGGAGGATTCTGGGAGGTAACATGACATCACTTTTATCTCTATTAATAAAACACAGACCTGACTGGAGAGGTGTGGAGGATTCTGGGAGGTCACATGACATCACTTTTATCTCTATTAATAAAACACAGACCTGACCGGAGAGGTGAGGAGGATTCTGGGAGGTCACATGACATCACTCTTATCTCTATTAATAAAACACGGACCTGACCGGAGAGGTGAGGAGGATTCTGGGAGGTCACATGACATCACTCTTATCTCTATTAATAAAACACAGACCTGACCAGAGAGGTGAGGAGGATTCTGGGAGGTCACATGACATCACTCTTATCTCTATTAATAAAACACAGACCTGACCGGAGAGGTGAGGAGGATTCTGGGAGGTCACATGACATCACTCTTATCTCAACTAATAAATCACAGACCTGACCGGAGAGGTGAGGAGGATTCTGGGATTCTAACATGATATCCCTATTGGTTTTCCAATATAGAGTTTTCCTCCTCTGAAATCAGGTGATCCTTTGACCATCACAGTGCCTCCATGTGACTCCCTGAAACCTGAGAGACAGGACATGCAGAAGATTCTAGAAGTCACCAAGAAGATGATGGAGCTGCTGACAGGAGAGGTGAGCGGTGCCGGGAATTCTGGGACATTCTCCAGTAACAGACAAGGGATGTGTCTGGATGGTGACTGTATCATTGTGTGTGTCAGGTTCCTATAAGGTGTCAGGATGTCACTGTCTATTTCTCCATGGAGGAGTGGGAGTATTTAGAAGGACACAAG